ATCCAAACGCCCCAATTGAAGCTCGGGTCAAAGACCTTCCACCCATCACAGAATAACCAATTTATAGTTGGATTTCTATTCTACCCATCACAGAATAAGAAACCGGGCTTTAGAGTCTCTATATAGTACTAGGCCACACTAAATAAGATGTAATAAGCCCAAGTTACTTTAATCATAATTTGGATCCGGTTTTCTCTTTGTTTATTGAGGATGTATTTCTTTACCAATTTAATGAATATGGAGTACACTTAATGGCATCATATGCATCTTCCTGTTCAAGGGTATTTAGGATTGCTCCTTTACCTTCAGCATGGCGTTGAGGCAATTTATTCTTATAATGTAATGTCCTGGAGATTCTGTCTTTTTCTTATAATAATAATAAAAAAAGAATGAAATTGAAGTACATTTATGTGTGTTTGATTTACTTTTACTAGATAGATCCCGTGTAATCACGGGTTCTCCATTAATTTTTTTGGGTGTACAATGAGCGCTATTGATAAAAGTAATAAATTTAAATTACAAAAGTACAAAAATATATAGTTTTTGCCTAATGAGCAATGTTTATGAGTATATACAACCATTATTTGTTATTTAATGTTAAAAATTAACACAAATATATTTGTTAGGTCTTTATTGCTATATGATGGATAAGAGGAGAAAAAAACGCAAGAGAAAAACTAGGATTGGAGGAGAAAGGCTAAAGCCTAGAAGGAAAATATATGTTGTGTAAAAGATTTTTTAAACACACATTTTTTTATGAAGCATGGAAATTGCTACGATACATTTAAAAATAATGTTGCATTCCGTGTTCAACTAAGAAAAAGGGGTATAAAAAAAACACTGAGGACAAAAGAAAAAGTTTGGCACATCAGCCATCCAATCCAAACTAAGGAGGTAATAGAAAAATAAAATTAATTCTAAATTACCAGAAAATGACACGTCAGATGGATAGGGTAAAATGGGCGGGAAAATGATATAATGAGCTTTTCGAAGGAATTCTATTTTAGTAGATAGAATGATATGTTTAAAAATTTTATTTATATTATAGGCAGAATATAAAATTAGTAAACGAACAGAATAAGAATCTTGTTTGCAAAACATTGAAATTCTTTGTATCTTATTTTAAGATGATGGTTTGGGTAAATGTAGATACATTTTAGGTTTTATTAAAATATTTTTGGCCAAAATAAGATTAAAGTTGGACTGGATAGATAATTTTTTTTCCTCTAAGAAGATCATGGTGGTCCCGTATTTAATTTCTCTAATTAATAATAATAGTGTAGAAAAAGCCTCTCAAATTAGTTTAGACCGGGCGGACAAGAACAAAACAAATGAAGAGACTATAATACAATGAACCAAAGTCCGTATAAATGTACAGATTCCCCTCCTTTGATAAGTCAAAATAAATAAAAACAACTATGTGTCAATGTCCATTTTCATTGATGATATAATACAGTACAAGAAAGTGTAAAATAAAAATGTGGAACCATAAAAATCCTTAGAAAATGTTTATATTTATTTATTTCTTTATTTTTGTGTAGGAACTAGGAACCTTAAAATTTTGAGGAACTGACCGTGGACTATGAAAGCAATGAACTACATCCAGGTGGCCTGAATCCATCCTTGTCAAAAACACAATAGTACCGTCTGATTCTTTAATTGCTAAGGCTTTGTTTTTTTAGTTTTTTTATGGTTTTTTTAGATTAATAAAATAATATTTATCCTATCCCAATACATCTTTTTATATTTTCAATATAAAAAACACCTAAAAACACACACTAAAAAAATAAAACAAACATACCCTTAGTATCTTCTTCAGTAATTTTCATAATATTTTTTTGGTACAAGTAATTTTCATAATTTAATTCTTTGCGTGTTTCGTAACGAATTGAATTGATTTGTTTTTCCCTTCAATACAATTCAGTGAATTAATATCCTTGAAATAATCGATCAGCCATGTCTTCTTGCATGTGTGATCTAAGTTTTTAGATACAAATTCAGGGGAATCCAGTATGTATGATTTTTTTTTTCCACAAGTGTATGTGTATGTGTATGCCAGTTTGCCACCTTAATTTTCAATTTTTATTTGGAGTGACTTCTTTAAAAGAATAATTTTTTTCCCCTCATTTTAAAATCGTGCGCATGCCGTGAGCTTTCAAGGTTTCATGTTTGTTGCTTTGTGTGTGTGTGTGTTTTTTTTTTGAAAAGTATTTGTTGTACTATTTATTAAAACTATGATAGGTGCAATGTTGCTACGACCTTGGGAGATCCAGTGCTAAACTTCGGAAATTGAAGGGCAAAATTCGTACATATTTTGTTTGTTTTTGGACCGAATTATATGTGGAGTTGACATTTTCGACGGAAATTATTTTAGGTTAAGCTAATCTAGGTTTTTTAGTTTTTTTTTTTATTTTATTTTTTTGGGAAGATTCGTCTCTCTCTTCACTTTATTACCATTTAAAAATTTTCCTAACCAAATTATAACAATCCCACGGATCTTTAATTTCAGTCACTCTGGTATTACATAAACACCTTAAAATCTTCAGAAATTTTCATCCGCTGTGAATTATAACGACTCGAAACTTGCCGGATTTGAGTTCTTGAGGTGTAGTTCCTTGGTATAATTCTATGCGTTTTCTTTGCGGGCTATCTTAGTCTAATTCCGTGAAATTAATTTAAACTTGTTTTTGGGTGTTTGTATTATATACGCATTTTTATTACTTCAATGTTTAATTCAGTAGATTTTTCTTCTTTTTTGTGTGATTCATTTTTTTTTGGTTCATTTGTCGCCCTCGATATCATCAAATACACACCCAAAATTGTGTTATCATGTTCAACCTTATCATCTGCTATGCGTTAATCACCGTTATATTTTTTTTATCGCCTTCTTTTCTTTCGAATTTTTTAGATCTTCAAGAATGAACTGATGATTGATATATATGGAACCTGTAGGTCTTTCTCCATTTTTTTTAAACCATCATTTCTCTCGTAAAGAAGCATAAAAAAACATCATGCGATCAGATGTTCTACAATAACTTGCGAGAAAATATGTTCTACACAAAAATTGAAGGAGCATAAGTTTTAAAAAAAAGTTAGGGCGATTCAATTTCAGAGTCGAATGTTGTTTCTACACCTTTGACCTTCTTGGACAGCCCTTCTTGAACGGATCCAGCACAGTCCCTAGGACCCTTCGACATCATCTCAAGTACTTCCAATGGTTCAACTTTAACCTTAACCAAATCCTTGCTCTGACAAACAAAAGGCACCTCCTCCACAATTTTGTTAATTCGCATGTATTATAAATTGAAAAGTTATTTGGGAATCGAGATCATCAAAGGATAAATTATCCAACTGAGGAGCCGCCCAAAGCAGGCCCTTTAGCATTTCCAAATTGACTGGTAAGTTCCTATTGCAAGAAGTACAACGCATGCCTACAGTTAATTGTCTGACATCCCAGATATAAGGATCCGGATTGTGCATCAGACGTTTTAGAACCTTCAAGTGCCGAGGCGCAAAACAGATGCTCAAAAAAAATAACTCAGCATCTATTCTATTCAATTAGACCTCAAATCCAACTCGATCCCTTAGTGAAGGAAGGTTCATGCTATCAATATCTGATAATGAAAGTTTTCAACTTTAACAAAACAAGCTTCTTCATTTGTACGTGCACCAAAAACAGGTCAAGGCATCCACGCTTCCATGATACAACATATCATTTCCAACATCAAATGCTGATTCTCTGATGTTTTCACTGTTTAGAGGGTCTACAACGAATCCGATCAAACCAAGTAACAATACAATTAAATATATCAATTCAATATCAATTTTTAATAAAATTTTAACAAAGATTGTTGTTGATTTTAGCACGATTTTGCAATCCTGGACACTAAAATGGCTCGCAGGTTGCACGAATCATTTTTTTCCTCCTTCAAGGATAATGGGAAGAGTACTACTCTCTTCTAGGTTATACCTTAGCTCTCCCACTCAACAGCTCCAATGTTTTTCTCAATATTTGAATGTTATGTGCGAGAGAAAGTGATTAATTCCAAAATCATAGTTGAAGAAGGCAATATCAGTATACTCCCCGTTTCTTACATTTAATTTGAATGTGTACCTTAACTATGTCATGAGGGAGAATACATGTACCAAGTTAATTTTAATTTTTCTTCAAACAAAAAAGTGAATTGACTTACTCTTATATTATTTTGATTTTTTAAGAAAACATGCAATAGTGATACCATTTATTTATTTTTTTGAATTGGGCCTAGAAATAGATCTAGCGGCTAAGCCTCAAGTGATATAAATTGGATACCAAAATAAAAATCCATCAGTTTCCGTTGGAAACTATAATTGATGCGCCGAAACGAAGGCTATCTTTAGAGTTGTTACTTAGGGAGTTTTAAGTATTTTAAAGATAACAACATGAAGAACCAATACCATTAACGTTCATTCTCATTGATCTACGAAAAATAGGCTCTTAATAAAAGAGAGTTGAAAAAAAGATGGAAGAGCATTCTCAATCATGAAACGAGGTGCTGCTATCCCAAATATTTGTGCAACAGTAGTTATAGTGGAAATAACTCGAGAAATAAATTTTACGCACTTAAGAGTTCAAGCGGAATGGCGAAATGAAGGATGTTACCCTTCAAACTCCTTAGGGTATCTTCTAAAATGATTATCACCATCCGCAGCATTTGGACATTAAAAAGACTTAGTTGATATTGATAATGGTGTGCCAAGATTCATGTAGTGCTTTGTAGTTTTAAGAATAAAGCAAGTCTGGTGTTCCTAAGAGGTCTATGCACGCTTCTGTTACGTTCCAATAGATCTGCTTGCGCTCCGTCTTACGTTTTTTTTTGGAAAAAAATAAAAAATAAAAAAATTCTAGAGTATTTTACTACAGCAATGACTGCAAAAAGAAAACCAAACAGAAACAACGATAATTATAAAAATTGGCCTCCAAATAAAAAACACAAACACAAAAAAGATCGATCTCAAGTTCAATATTCCCACTTCTTCAACTCCATGCCATCGGGAGCACTCCCCTCAACCTTCTTGGAACCGACTTCATCCCAATTGGTTGACAAAACCGTGCCATTAGACTCCACAAAGGATTTCATCATGGCCCGTCTGGCATCCTCATCCACATCTTTGTAAATGTCACGGAAAAACTTGTTCACCGCAGCATCCCCATCCAGTTTCTCTTCTTTTTCCTCCTTCTTCACTTCAGCCTCCAACTTATCCCAATCTTTACCTCCCCTGGAAGAAGGGTAAGCCGGCCTCTGTCTCCCTGATGCATTATTGTTAACCCTCTGCACCACCAGATTGTCCCTGTTAACAAATTCCAGGGATGCCCACTGAATCGGTTCCGCTTTCGCGAGCCGGATTTCGATCTTGGTCGAAAGAACATCGTACCTACACTTTTCCGGAATGATTTTCCCGAAAAGTCGAGGCTGGAACGAATAAACCTCTTCATTAGGCTTATTGATTGTCACACTGAGTATTTGTTCACCATATTCCACTCTCACATTGTTTGTTGGCACCCCTTTTGCAAATATGGTCACAACTACTTCCTCTGGTTTCTGATAAAATTCATGCCTGAATTTTGGTTTAGAAACCGAATTCGTCCCGGCTTTTTCAACAGCTAATTTTGTGGAATTCACAGCCTTTTTAGTTTCCTCTGAAATATGGTTCTCGCATTCGGTGATGAATTTGGAGAATCTCGGGTCTTGGGGTAAGATGGAAGCGCCTAATTGGAGGGCTTCCTTGGCGGACTGGAATTTCTTGAGCTTTATGGAGGCAATGCCTTTACGCAAATAAGCTTTGGCAATTGAAGGGTCCAGTTCGATTGACTTGTTTGCGTCGGCGACGGCTTCGGCGAAGTTAGAGAGCTTGATGTTGGCCTGAGCCCGGTCTGCGAAGACCTCGGCGGCGTTGTTAGGGTTGGCTGCGATGGCTTGAGAGTAGAGGTCAACCGCGAGGTCGAAGTGGTCGTCAATGAAGGCTTCGTTTGCCCTTCTTTCCAGATCTGATGACGCCATATTGAGAATTGGGGGTAATAGCTTAGGCCCCCTTTTTTTTTTGTTTTGGATCGATGTGAAGAAAATCTAATTATTAGAGGATTGATGATGTTTTGTGATGATTAAACCTCTCATATTTATAGAGGGGGTTTGCGATTCGTCCGAGAGGCAATAGGATTCTCAAACTCTAGAAACTTCTGTAAACTGGAAATTATTGTCTCTTATTTGTTCCTTTTTCTTAAAAAAAAAAAAAAAAGAGAGAAGAAAATATTGGTTAATTTCTTTTATGTTTCCAAATAAGAAGGGAATCCCAGTTCCCCAACCCCCAAAATATAATAACTAAATTAAATATGTAGAAGTTAAGTCTGACCTATAACAAGTAGTCTTGACCCTTTCGTTCCAATCTCGTTCCAGTCTCCGCTACCAGATCGACACCCTTTAGTTACTCCTTAGCATCTGCACCCACTTTTGAGTCACATTCCACCACCCGAAGGTATTTGATATCTTCATTGCTTCTCATATTACTAGCATATCTTCCTGTGTCGACTCCAGCATCCCGCAACACTTCCCGATATCCTATGCAGAAATTGAAATCCAAAGATCAATTGCCGGACCACTCTAGCCTTTTCCGAAAATCGGAAAATTGTATTTAATTGATTTCATTTGACATATTTTTTTAGTATTTTCAAATATCTCACGATGAAGGGGGAAATAAAATCGATGAAGCAAAGATGTTACTTGTTGAATTCCAGGTGCCATTATTTTACTTTTTTCTTATACCGTTTAGAACACTGATTTTTGAATTGAAACGTTCAGATTTCTTTTGCAATTAACTTTGTTAATTTTACTGAGATATTCATCAATGTTAAGAATTGAATAACAGTGATTAGAATTTACCCACATTTAAATAATATCACTGAGATTAGAATGCTACGTAATTTTCTCTAAATCGGCTTTACAGATCCAATAAGCCCATACCCAATTATAAGCGTGATGCGGCCCTGTACTCGTAACTAGTATAGCTCCATGTCAAAGATGATGACATTTCACAACCTTCCATATTTATGGACCAAAGATTTGATTTCACAATAGGTAAAATCTTAAGTATTTGAACCTACTTGTCTGAACAATGTATACTTGCTTTTAAGGGCAAAACTCAGCATTAGTCCCCATAAGTTTAGGGGTAGCTCAGGTGAGTCATCAAAAATTTTTTTTCAACGGTTTTAGTCACCATTTTTAGTTTTTTTCAACACAATGGTCCATTTAACGGGAGAATACATTAACTTAACGGTGAACGACCAAAATCCGTCAATTGTTCAATATTTTATGAATTTTTTACTGGTGTGGGTCCCATGATTTTTTTCTTGTTTTTAATTGTTAAAAAAAAAGAGAAACCCAAAGTAAATAAGTCAAAGAAAAAAAAAACCTTCCCTTTCATCTCCCCCCCCTCTTCACCCTGCCGCCGGCACCACCACCACCACCCAGTTGTTCATCCTCCCCTCCCACCTTCTTCATTTCTTCCCTTTTAATTCATCTCCCATTATCCATACACAATTTCCATCCGATTTGCAAAATCCTCTTGTTTTATGTTTTCAAGCAGGAACACCTCTAAGAATCCACCATAAAGCCTTAGTTCTTTTCACAAATTGATTTCCTTCTTTGGCTACAAATTTATTGCTGTCAATTTGAATTCTTCACATCTTAATATCAAAGCAGGGAAAGGAATAATAATTCATTAATTTAGATTTTCTTTATTCTTCATGGAATACTAGAGGGAAAAAAGAAAGATGGAGGCAACTGGTGAAATGGTTGAGGAATCATTTAGTTCGGATTCGTCATGATTCTGATGTGTATAAATTGATGGGTTTTTTTTTTCTTTCTTGAAATTCAATTTCTTTTGATTGGATTTTGTACCTTTGCAATCGTTCAAAAAGATGTGAAGAATTTGTGTACCATCGGTGGTGGTTTGGGCTTTGGAGGAAAAACTCAAAAATAAATAAATAAATAAATAAAAATATTAGTGGGTTCCATTATTGATAATTGAATAGTTGACAGATTTTCTAATTCACCGGTAAAGTTATGAAATTTCCATCAAATACACATCGCTGTTGAATAAACTTAAACTTGAGGACTAAAATCGTCGAAGAAAACTTTATGGTGACTGACCTGAGTTACCCCCAAACTTTGGGGACCAATACTGAGTTTTGCTCTGCTTTTAATATAGCTGCAACAATTAGTTTTGCCATGAAATGATAAATTACATTGCTCCGTACAATTAATTTTTCTGGAAAGAAAAATAAAATCAACTGAAAATCTGAAAAGAAAAGATAAAATTACAATTTACAAGGCCCCCACCAATTATAATCTGAATAAAAAAATGCATTAAAAATGTCTGTAGGAATGATAATTTAAAGTTTTAAGCACTTATTGATTTACTTTTTATCTTCAAAAAGTATGGTCAGAAATCCTAGTCCATACACAAGTTTTAATAATTTCAGGACTATAGTGAAACTTACTAGATAGTTCAAGTAGATAGTACTCCTGTAATTAGCGTTCGGTAATAAAAAAAGGTCTTCCTGGAATTAGGAGGGGATTTTTATTTCCGCGGGTTACACTTAGCTTAGTTCTTTGATAGTATTGATCATAAACTTCAGGAGTAGTTTGTGAAGTATTACAACTGAAATGACTGCTTAATTATTTGACAGCTGCATTAGGATTAATGTTAAATGAACAACTACTCTACGCGCACAAAGCACTAAAAGCATGTTGAGATTAACTGTCAAGTGTTCTGCATACTATGTCTCCGTGGTTCATTATTAAACAGCTCTTTGACAGGTGTATTTTACAGGGTTTTGTGAACTTATATATATATATATTATTTTTACAAGTCCACCAAACCAATTCAAACAAAATTTACTGGATATCATCCAAAACAACTTTAAAACATCGGACACAAAACTAACTGAAATACTCGTATACTGGAAACAGTAAAGCTTAGCCCAAAAAAGAGGTGGAACAAAGAACTTTATATTTGGATTAATTAAATCTTTATAGTGGATAAGATAATTTTAACATACGAATTATTAAAAGAGAGAGAGAGAGAGAGAGAGAGAGAGAAACAGTATCATTTTAACTAGATACTTAGATAAGTTTGAGTTTTTGAAGCATAATCAAATCTTGAATGAGAGATTTGAGGATAATCAGTTGCCACTTTATCTCACACAGTTGTTACACAAATATCTCACTTCCTCCCTCGAAAAATCTTACTTATATATCTCTACTTAAAGCATTTCTGAACTCTTTACTTCGAGTACCTTGAATCACTTAAAACAAAAGAGAAAGTGGAAAGGAGTGAAAATTGAAAGTCATGGCAGGAGGTGGTGGAATTGGACCATCCAATGGGAAAGCTTACCCTGGAAATCTCACTTGCAAAGTCTTCATTACTTGCATTGTTGCTGCCATGGGTGGTCTAATCTTCGGTTACGATATCGGTATTTCAGGTAAAATCCTCGTTTGTGTTTATTTTGTCCATAATGATAAAGCACGATGGCAATATCTGATCCATAGTATAATTTATTAATCCTTCTTTCTTGATAATTTTGCAATTTTGCAGGAGGGGTAACGTCAATGCCTATATTCTTGAAGAAATTCTTCCCGGATGTGTACAAGAAGCAATCCGGGGAGGTTTCCTCGGATCAATACTGTAAGTTCAACAGTCAGATACTGACGATGTTTACGTCGTCGCTTTATATAGCGGCACTTTTGGCGTCCATGGTGGCTTCCAGCGTCACCCGTGTGTTCGGAAGAAGAGTGTCTATGTTATTGGGTGGAACACTCTTCCTTGCCGGTGCTTTAGTCAATGGATTTGCCCTGAATGTTATTATGCTTATTGTTGGTCGATTTCTTCTTGGTTGCGGTATTGGATTTGCTAACCAGGTAGGTTCATTTCTTTCCATCACTCATACATCTCATTTTTATTGTTCTCTCTCTCTCTCTCTCTCTCTCTCTCTCTCTCTCTCTCTCTCTTTTTTTCTTTTAAATTTTTTCTACATACCTAAGTTTGATTTTAAATAAACCCATTCATAGCATGTGCACTTTGGAGAGATGATGAATCTTATTTTGAAATAAAATTAGAATTCTTATTCCTAAAAGACGAAAACTGTTTAGATATTTTGTCGCGCATGAAGAGGAAGTGGATCAGTATACCTATCTGATATCTATTTTCCCCCCTTTTTGCAGTCTGTTCCAGTATACCTATCTGAGATGGCTCCATATAAATATAGAGGGGCACTTAACATGGTATTTCAACTGTCAATCACAATCGGAATATTAGCAGCAAACCTATTGAACTACGTCATGGCAAATAACCCACAAGGATGGCGGGTCAGCTTGGGTTGCGCCGGTGTACCCGGATTAATCTTCATCGTCGGATCCCTCATGCTTCCCGACACCCCGAACTCGTTGATCGAGCGTGGGAAGAAGGACGAAGCGAAGACGATGCTCCAGAAGATCCGGGGAATCGAGAACGTTGACGAGGAGTTCGACGACCTGGTCCGGGCCAGTGAAGAATCCAAGAAAGTCAAACACCCCTGGATGAATATTATGAAGACGAAGAACCGGCCTCAATTGACTTTCGCCATCCTGATCCCCGCATTCCAACAGCTCACCGGAATGAATGTGATTATGTTCTACGCTCCGGTTTTGTTTAAGACCATCGGTTTCGGAGACAACGCCTCCCTCATGTCCGCCGTCATCACCGGCTTGGTCAACTGTGTTGCCACCTTGGTCTCCATTGCCGTCGTGGATAAGTTTGGGAGGAGAGTCCTCTTCATTGAAGGTGGAATCCAAATGCTCATCTGTCAGGTATTTCATCGTGTTTAGGGTTTTATTATTATTATAAAATCAGTACTGATTTTATTCTAGTCTCGAGTTTGATATGTTAATCTGATATCAATTGATTTCAACGGGTGGCTGGAAAATGGGACCAATAGGGGCGGTGGCTGATTTCAACTATTTCATTCCTGCTAAATGATGAATATATCATTTCGCTCCTCTATTTTTTATAATTTCTGGTTCCACCACTGAATTATCATTATTGATGGATTTTTCTTTTTGGGGGATCCAGCTCTTGATTGCTCTTGCAATTGGGTGGAAATTCGGGATTCATGGGAATCCGGGAGCTCTCCCGAAATGGTACGCAATGGGGGTGGTGATATTGATCTGCATCTACGTGGCGGCATTCGCATGGTCGTGGGGCCCGCTGGGGTGGTTGGTGCCCAGTGAGATTTTCCCGCTGGAGGTGCGGTCAGCGGGTCAAAGCATCAACGTGGGAGTCAACATGATCTTCACATTCTTCATAGCTCAGATATTCACATTGATGCTTTGCAAGTTGAAGTTCGGGCTCTTCTTGTTCTTCTCCTTCTGGGTGCTCGTCATGACTTGGTACGTCATCAGGAGGTTGCCGGAAACCAAAGGGGTCCACATCGAAGACATGGCCGAAGTTTGGAGCCGGCATCCACACTGGAGTAAGTACGTCCCGGCGCCTGATGAGAAGAAGCCTAGCGGCGGCGGCGCCGGTGATTTCGAGATCATTAAGAAACCACAAGATTGCTGATGATGTTTATTGTGCTGGGAGTAATTGGATTTTTCGTTTCGAATAATTTTTGTTGGAGTTTTGAGGACCTTGTTGTTATTATTATTCTTTTCTGTTTCGGTTTTAATTATTAGTACTACTTAGAATGTTGATTAATTAGTTGCTTTTATGCATTTCCAAAGCGGGAGTGTTCTTTTTTAGCAATTTTGGTCCTAGCTTTTTAGCAATGTTGAAGCAAGGTTGTCAATTGTGTTTCTCATTTTAAAAAATGGATTTTATTTCATCAAGTTGTGTTAATTTCTTTCGCATTTTCTATTCAATTGTTTTTTTATATTACGTATCTGATGTATGAAGTCATTATTTTTACTAATTAATAATTATTTTATACTCATATCCGGGTTTGAATCTGAGGCCGTCATAATTAAACTGATCCAACCAATTGTTTTTCCTATTTGTATGAGCAGCTAGATGATAGTTGAAGTTATATCACACACTAACTAATTTCTCCCTAGCTTCAGAGGGTTTCAGATAAACCTGGAGATCTCAACGTGTAAGGAAATGCATGGCAACTAACTACCGTATGTATGTATATATCCTGACGTCATATTGACTGGGCTATGTAGACCATGTAGACATTTGGTGCTTTTCATCAAAGAATTAGTTCAGACTCTTATGATAGTTAGTTTTCACTTCATTTAATAATTCCTTCATATTCTTCTCCCAATCAACAAGAGACTGAGGAGTTCCAGTTGTGCCTTTTAGCTAGCATTCTCACCAAAAAGCAAGGAACTCATCTTTGTTCCAATCACCTAATAAAAACCTAGTCTTACTAATTAAAAGTTCCTGCATCATTTCGTTCTTTATTATCATCCTAAATCCTAATGTAAAAATTCCTAAAAAAGAGAAGAAGAACGAGGAGTAAATGAGTGACAGAGTGTGGATATAGCAAAATAGATGTAATCTCATTTTTATTTCTATTTTTGTTAAAAAGAAAAGTTAGAAAAAATATAGGGATTTCTGGTACAAAGAGATCAGCGAGTTGTTGGTTGGCCGTTTGAGGAGATAATAATAGAAGTAAATGAGTGACTATTGGTGTGATGATCCCATAATCCATCACTACTTTTCTTAGATAATATACTCCATGTGTTATTATAAGATATTTTGATTTGTCATAAATTTATTTATTATATTTTTTTAATTAAAAATAAAATCCTAAAAATATAATTTTACATTTATTGTGTGCCGTCAATAAAAAAATATTTAAAAAAAATAGAAACATGATGTACTTATAATAATATACTCCCTCCGGTCCGTTATATAAGGCATTTTAATTTGTCAAAGATTTCACCTTAGTACGTATTTTTAATTGATAAAAATATCTTAAAAATATTTTCTAACAATTAAGAGAATACGAATATGAAAATATATTTTTTAATATTTTTTTGTAAATTTAAAATGTGTACTAGGTTGAACCTAGAACAAATAAAAATGCCTTATATTGAGGACGAGAGAGTATTAGATTTAGGTCGACGCGGCCCTGCCCTCATTGTTAAGCCTGGTCCGTCAAAAAACTACAAGAATCTTTTACGGAGATTAAGGTTTTTGGCTGATAGTCTAAAATTGTTATGATATGTGCGAGCTCTAGTGCTGTTTTATTGTGTTTACCAATCTTTTTGTAGTCTTTCTACTGATTGTTCCGGCATATCGATCTATCCAATAGCAGCTAGTTAGACCTCCGGCCGTCATGAGGATTTTAGAAGAATAAACTAGAACGATTCCATTCCCACAAAATCCAACGCATAAAACATGTTTGAACTTTTTAGTGCTCGGCTTACGTAGCTAGTCGGCGTTATTAGTCCATGTATATATTTTTGTAGTCGTTGATAATGACTTATCCGATGTATCATGCGTACATAACATAATCAAATGCATAACTTTTTTTTAAAAAAAGTTTCATTCATATGTTGGAAATCGTCCAACTGCATTTGAAAATACAAAAAAACAGTCTACAATACAACTTACAACAGATTACTATCATCATATTGTTGTGTTTATAATGAATAAATCTACACAGATCTATCCAAAATAAGACTGTGCATATTACATACCGAGATTCAGATCCGGTTAAGAATATATTATTAATTATCATATAAAAACTCCAAATTACAAATCTAATAAATATATTTATAACGACTGATTCTTATTGAAGAGTGAACAACGAGCCCGCGAGCATCACCAATGATATTATGAACACTGTAGACGGCATTCCTTACCCTCAACCAGTAGATTCAAGTTATTGGAGGAACATTATAATCAAAAGTATCCTACCCTCTTAATAGATCACACAATTAATCTATTGAAAGAACTTTTGGAGTAAATTCCTTTTATTAAAACAGAAAAAGAAACAAAAATACAAAAAAACTAAAGAAAAAATTATTTCCCCATCCTTCCATGGTGGAAAGATGGGAGAGAATTGGAGAATTTTTTTTTTAGGGTTCAAGGGAGAAGAGAGGAGGGGCGCTACGCAGCAATCAAATTGATTTACACGTAATCAAATGCATAATTAATATAACCATTGTTATATAATTGTATAATAACATGATGTGACTTATCACGCTATATACTATATATAGTACGTATTCTTTAGGTGTATATCTATGTATGTCCTATTTTTAAACTTCTATTCAAATTAAGTGCATTTCTCTAAAGAGTTCTTCAATTCTAATTTGAATTAACACCATGTGTACTTTATTAGAGAATATCAATCCAAAATATTATCACAATTTTATAAACTTATGATGATCAAATCTGTTCTTCTAAGATTATTTGTAATTAGTTACAATATTATATAGCAGTTCGATATTATATATCAATTTCTATTAAAATTCAGTTATTTAGTATTCCTTTTACCCAACGAAAATAGTCTACATTATAGTTTGTAAATTGTACTAAAAATAATATAATACACAAATTGTAAAGTAGACTACTTTTCGGTGATGAATTATTAATTAATTATAAACACCTGTGTCAAGTAACACAAAGGTTTCACGAAGGTTTGATCCCGAGATCGATCGGAGATAATGGGAGTTGAATGTAATCATATTAATTACCTCTTTTTTATTATAAAAAATCATATGCAATAGTCTGTTCGTGTTCTTTATAATTCGTTTGGCTAAATTTACCAAACCTTGCAAGTCATACATAGGAAATTTATTTAACCATTTGTAATTGTTGGTGAGTATCTGACATGTATTTTAGCTCCGCGGCCCTTTTCCATTTGGCTACATATTGCTTCAACTTTATTCTTCTCATTTGTACAAGAAAAAAGGACCTTGTTCATCGCATGAATGGATGCCTAAAATTGCCAAAATGCACCTAATCACAACCTCTAACAAGTCGGCCGGAGTTCGACTACAATACTGAGTGATCAGTTATCGGATGGTGAAACCGGTTACAAATGATCATGGAAGGGAATACCCAACTATTGACGAAATTCACAAAAAAAAAAAAGTGAAATGATCACCCATTTTCAAACTCTGGCTAAATTAGTGAAGTACTTACGAATCAGTTAATGTAATTATTAATAAAAAACAAAAGGAAAAAAGAAGAAGAAGAAGAAGGTTTTAGCCGGCAGATCATACTTTGACAATTGGAGAATATGAATATTTAAAGAATCTAGATGAAAAATAATCAGCTGGTGACACATGTAGTGTTAATGTTCGATGTTTTGGCACCAAAGAAAAGCAGGCCAATTGATTCTGTCTTTGGCAATCTCAGACATGGCTCAAGTAGCCACGCACTACGGGTTCAGAATATAACAATAGACGTAAGAGCAAACAAAATTCTTGGTAAAAATATACATTAAAAATAATATATCTGAATTAAATAAAAATGTACGTATCTAAATGAGTACGATATGTATTTGTTTGGAATAACTCATGATTCTTGTAAAAACAAAAATAGACTTTCATAGTTGAGTGAGAACATGCTTATTATCATTTTGAGACACAGAAGTTAAGTTATCGAATTAGAAAATTTTGATTAATATTTTGCTGCATATTTTTCCGCAAAGGCGTCTGACCCGACCAAGAACTTCTTGTGTTTTTTCTGGAAAGACTAAAATGTCCAAATGGTCCTTTATATTTGGGCCTACTTGAATTTACGTTCCTAACATTAACATTTCAATATCATAGTCCCAAACATTATGTTTTCACACTTTTTCAGTCCCATTTTACTGTTTCCGGTCGTTGACATGCCGGAATCATGGGTATTTTTGCCTTTTAATTTAATTTTAATTTCAATTAAAATTTAAATCATTAAAAATATTTAAAAATTCAGATTTCATTATTTAATTGTTAAAATATTATTTATAAATTAAAAATATTATTATAAAATTTTAAAATTTACATTATTTTCAAAATTAATTTTTTCATTTATCATTTATCTTAGGTCAAAGTAAATAGTAATTATGTTGCACTTTTAACCTTGGACCCACTGTAACTTAAAAAATTTACCGAGTTACAATAAATAATTCAAAATTCAATTTCTTAAAAAAAAAAAAAAAGAAGTAAAACTACTTTTTTACTCTGTCCGCTACAGTAAACCTTAAATCGTAATTCTGTTATACTTTTAACCTTGGACCCACTATAACTTAAAAAATTTACCGAGTTACAGTAAATAATTCAAAATTTAATTTATTTTTTTAAAAAAAAGAAAAAAGCAAAACCAAGATTTTTTTTTACTTTAACCACTACAGTTGAATTTTGAATTATTTACTGTAACTCGGCAAATTTTTTAAGTTACATTGGGTCCAAGGTTAAAAGTGCAACACAAGGGTTTACTGTAGCGGTTAATTACTTTGTTTTGCTTTTCTTTTTTTTAAAAAAAATAAATTTTGAATTATTTACTGTAACTCGGTAAATTCTTTAAGTTATTGTGGGTCCAAGATTAAAAAAGCAACGTAGCGGTCAGAGTAAAAAAAATCTTGATTTTTCCTTTTTTTCGAAAAAAAATTGAATTTTGAATTATTTACTGTAACTCGGTAAATTTTTTAAGTTATTGTGGGTCCAAGGTTAAAAAAGCAACGTAGCGGTCAGAGTAAAAAAATCTTGATTTTTCCTTTTTTTCAAAAAAAAAAATTAAATTTTAAATTATTTACTATAACTCGGTAAATTTTTTAAGCTACAGTGGGTCTAAGGTTAAAAGTACAACATAATTACCATTTAGGGTTTACTATAGCGGTCAGAGTAAAAAAAAAATCATAGTTTTGCCTTTTCTTTTTTTTAAAAAAAAATTGAATTTTGAATTATTTACTGTAACTTAGTAATTTTTTTAAGTCACAGTGAGTCCAAGGTTAAAAGTGTATTATAATTACCATTTAGGGTTTACTGTAACGGTCAAAGTAAAAAAAATTTAGTTTTGTTTTTTCTTTTTTTTAAAAAAAATTAAATTTTGAATTATTTACTGTAACTCGGTAAATTTTTTAAGTTACCATGGGTACAAGGTTAAAAGTGTAACATTAATTACTATTTAGAGTTTACTGTAGCGGTCAGAGTAAAAAAATCTTAGTTTTACTTTTTCTCGTTCTTTTTTTTAAAAAAAAATAATTGAATTTTGAATTATTTACTGTAACTTGGTAAATTTTTTAAGTTACAGTAGGTTCAAAGTTAAAAGTGTAACATAATTACTATTTACTGTGTACTTAAAGTAAATAGTAAATGAAAAAAGTAATTTTGAAAATAATGATAAATTTTAAAATTGTACAATAATATTTTTAATTAATAAATAATATTTTAACAATTAAATAATGAAATTTGAATTTTAAAATATTTTTAATGATTTAAATTTTAATAAAAATTTAAATTAAATTAAAAGACAAAAATACTCTTGATTCCGGCATGTCAACGGCCGGAAACAGTGAAATGGGACCAAAAAAATGTGAAAACATAATGTTTGGGACTACGATATTAAAATGTTAATGTTAAAGACGTAAATTCAAGTAAGCCCAAATATAAAAGACCATTTGGACATTTTAGTCTTCTGGAAATTCTAGTTCGTCAAAAACCCATGTTTGATGGCTTAGAATTTATATACACGCGGACACACGGTCCATGTCGGCATCCATCTACGTTAGTATTTTAGAACTACTTGGCATTCCAGTTCAAAGTTCAAAGACAATGCACCTCAGTCAAAGGAGTCAAGTGGTGATACGTGATAGGCAAGGAGTACATATCAAAATGTCTACTACTATCCAACGAGATAGATTAGTCAATAAGGAGTATTATTGACGATAAAATGCATATCGAATTCTAAAAAGAAAAAAAAAAAAGAAAAAAGAGACAATTGGTGACCATGAACATTTTTCTTAGCTGTATCGACTGTCAGTTATTGAGTTTGCAGCTTTGAAATTTTATTTACGCATGTGTATCCTCATATGGTTAATTAATATTGATCATTAATATTATATCCACATTTAATTATTTTACGTCAATTAAATGTTAATTTACTGTAGTAAAAGTAGTGTAGACAAGTCAATTTCATCTCAACCTAATTATTAATTACTTATATTTTGACTTACCGGTAAACTTTTGAGGTCTTTTCTTTATTAGGTCGGTATTAACCTCAAACGTTATAAACGTGTTCAGGAAACTCCAGTATATATCATGAATGCTAGTATAACTTTTTCTTAAAAAAAATAAAATGTTTTTGACATTTGGCAATTTGGCTTGATGCCACGTGTAAAAGAAAACTTGCTAAAAAAAATATTCATTTGAGCTAAATGTAACAACTGGATTTAAATTTTAATAACAAAAAAAAATTCAAATAAAATATTACAAGTATGTTACAAGTATAACATTAATTATTGGCTTATTGCTATTACTTTTTTCCATGATATCCTACACATGAAGCATTAAGAAGAAAAAGACTTGAAACACTTTTTTTAATATAAAAAAAAAAAAGAAGAAAAGTGAATCCCCTCGCAACGATTCTATATAAGGATGGAAAGGCGGAGCAAAATAATTGAAAATATAGCATACATTATAAATGAGAAAAAAAAAAAAAACAAACATTGTTAATCAGAAAAGATATAATTCTAAAATGTGGTGGAACAATAAAAATTATAACTTAGACATTGAGGAAATGTAAGTTACTAAAAAAAAGGTCACATTTAAAGCGCGGATATAACAGTATGAATAGACTTCCATAATTCCATTAGCTTCGGATTATTTCCATTTCAGTCACATGTCCAAAAATTTAATGCCCTTTCTTCCTTGTTGCCTGCATTCAGACAAAACCCCCCAAAATCCAATACAATACACAAATTGAAACACTGTTTGGTCAAAGAATTTAAAACCAGGATCTTCCCCTTCAAAGTTCAACGCAACAAATTAGTAAAAAAGTTAGTACAAAATCCAGAATTCAGAAGCCAACAAACAACAGTCAAATCCAGTTACCAAAAAGATCCAAGAACACCAATGGCCGTCCATAATTAACCAACCAAAAAATCCAAACCAAATTTTTAGTATGCTGTAGTACTACTGTATATGTATGTACCCCCAGCCACCAGTATTTGTTCTGCCTATAAATAAAACCCAGAAAATCAGACCAAAACACCAGACCAAAAAAACCATTTGAATTGTACAATTTACCAAATCCCTTTTTGTTTTTTTGGTCTAATTGTCTTCCAAACTTGAAACATGTGCCCACCACCATCTTCCCCTGCATGCGAATTCTACGAAAACCAGACAGATTTCAGCTCAATTTCGAAAGTTGCAGTTGCCGCAGCAGAGGATGCATTGGACACATCAGATATGCTGACGGCGCCGTTGGTCGCCGGAAATCAGACAGTGCCGAAATCCCAGATTAGCAAAAATGGTAAACAATCTCATTTCTCCCTTGTAGTAACGGAAGCAAGATGCATGGCCGGCATTGCTATTCCGATGATTTTAACCGGGCTTCTTTTGTATTCCCGCTCTATGATTTCTATGTTGTTCCTCGGCCGCCTCGGGGAGTTGTCGTTAGCCGGCGGCGCACTCGCTATTGGCTTCGCCAACATTACGGGCTATTCCATTCTATCTGGCCTGGCTATGGGGATGGAACCCATTTGCGGGCAAGCATTTGGGGCAAAAAGATACAAGCTTTTAGGCCTAACCTTACAGAGAACGATTCTTTTGCTTCTGTGGACTTCAATTCCAATTGCAATTATCTGGTGCAACATGGAGAAAATCCTACTGTTTTGTGGTCAGGATTCTGAAATTGCTTCAACTGCTCAATCCTACATCTTGTATTCAATCCCTGATTTGATTGCCCTGTCAATTCTGCACCCTTTACGAATTTATCTTCGATCACAGTCCATTACATTGCCTCTGACATTCTGTGCAGCTTTATCCATTATATTTCACATTCCCATCAATTATTACCTAGTTGTGGTCAAGAATCTTGGTATTAAAGGAGTTGCGATTTCAGGGGTTTGGACTAATTTCAACATCGTGTTAACTCTGATCGGTTATGTTGCTTATTCCGGGGTGGCTAAGAGGACTTGGTGCCGCATTTCTTTGGAGTGCTTGAAAGGTTGGAAAAGCCTAATGCAATTAGCCATTCCAAGCTGTGTTTCCGTCTGCTTGGAATGGTGGTGGTATGAGATCATGATTCTGCTCAGCGGATTCTTGTTGAATCCCAAAGCCACTGTTGCTTCGATGGGGATATTAATTCAAACCACTGCTTTGATCTACATTTTCCCTTCATCATTGAGCTTCAGTGTATCAACAAGGGTTGGGAATGAACTCGGCGCGAATAGCCCGAAAAAGGCGAAACTTGCGGCCATAATTGGCCTGTCTTCAAGCTTTGTGTTAGGAATCTCTGCTTTGTTTTTCACAGTCATGGTGAGGAACATATGGGCTGGAATGTTCACCCAGGATGTCAACATTATTGCATTGACATCAATGGTTTTACCCATAATTGGATTGTGTGAGCTTGGGAATTGTCCTCAAACCACAGGATGTGGAGTTTTAAGGGGTACAGCTAGGCCAAAATTGGGAGCTAATATCAACTTGGGATGCTTTTATCTTGTAGGGATGCCAGTTGCAATTTGGTTGAGTTTTTTTTGGGGATTTGACTTCAGTGGATTATGGCTTGGACTTCTTGCTGCTCAGGGATCATGTGCATTGACAATGTTGATTATTTTGGTGAAAACAGATTGGGAATTGCAAGCCCAGAGAGCCAGAGAATTGACAGCAACCATTAGTAGCAGCTTCAGCATTGACCAGATAGAAAATGCAGGGGAAGAAGAAGAATGTAGGAGTGATGATGATTCTTTTGATTCTTCGGTTTATACCAAGATTGACTCGAGCCCAGTTTGAAGATTCTTTTGATTATTCAATTTTTTTGATTTTTCTCAGTTAGAAAGCAAAAGAAAAAGAAAAAACAATGTAACATGTACAGAACAGAACACAAATAGAGAGAGAGAGAGAGAGAGAGATAGAGTTAGACTTGTACAGGGATTTGCTTTAGTCAATCTCTGTGGGGGGTTTAGAGTTTTAGTCAATTGAATTGGTCTGATTTGTTCTTTCTTTTTACAAAGCTGAAGCTGTTTCAACGTACGGATTCAGTTCAGGTTAGGAATTCAATATTCATCAAAGGAATGGCAAGAGAAATTCATTTTCGCATTAACCTCTGAATATTCAAAAAACGTCTCAGCCGTTTTCTTAGTATAATCTGGCGTTAAATCCCAATAGTTTAGTGTTGTTGGCGGGCTAGAAAAGAAAAAGAAGAAACACGGTATTATAAAGTTGACCATTCTCACTTTTAAGTTGCTATAAAAAATTTTATTTGCACTATTTGTACATTACTTGTCCACAAAAAAGAATAAGATTATATATATATATATATATATATTAAAAAAAGAATATATGCTTTTATAAATGTATAATCGGATACATTTGCTAGCATATAATTGGACACAGTTGCTATCCATATGTCGGTAGCCATCCTACTTGGACGATAAGGGTTTAATATCCATATTGAGTTTTTTTTATTTATTTCTAATATACAAGATGTTAAACCCGCACGATGTGCGGGAATTATTTATATACATTTATAAAAAATATTTAAATTTTTTATTCGATAAATGCAAATAAAATTATTAGTTTGAAACATTATCATAAATAATAAAAAAAGAGGATCGCGTCTACGACCAATAACTTATAGTGAAATAAGATAATAACTCATTAAAAGACGAAAACACCGAACTAAATTCGACACAATTTTAATTAAATTCAAATTGGACTAAGCTTAATTATTTGTTGATTTTTCTTTAAAATATGAAGATAACTTGAAACTTTTTGTGATGATTGCGGAATACTTGCGAGATCGCTGTTATGGTGAAGTATGCTATCATTTATAGGGTTTTTTTAGGATTCTTTTTCCCGAATTATTTGAATTCTTGGATAGTCATGTACAAATTTGGATTAACTTTAGTTTAAAATAATTAAACAATTTTTTATATTATTGAAGAATGCAATTTTTTGTTTTTTTTGAATTAATTAGGTTTGAATAAATTATGAATGTAGCCATGATTTGGCCTTTAGTTCATGTATTAAAGAAAAATATTGTTACCAAATTAAGATGATTTTTCTTTAAATAAATGAAAGCATTTAATACTAAAATTAATTAATTTTTTATAATTATGGTGATTGGGGTGATTTGATATTGTTGACATACTTCAAGGATTATTAGCATAAATTTGGAAACTATTTTTTCCCAAAATTTTAAAAAATTGACATGTAGGATTTTTGCTTACTTGACACTCTAGAAATATATTTTTATTTTCTCTCTCTGGTTTCTCTCTTAGTATAATATACTATAGATATGAGGATAGATTGAAAGTTTTTGTGATGACTGCGGAATATTTGCGAGATCACTGTAATGGTGAAGAATACTATCATTTATAGGGTTTTTTTAGGATTCTTTTTCCCGAATTATTTGAATTCTTAGATAGTCATGTACAAATTTGGATTGACTTTAGTTTAAAATAATTAAACAATTTTTTTATATTATTGAAGGATGCAATTTCTTTTTTGAATTAATTAGGTTTGAATAAATCATGAATGTAGCCATGATTTGGCCTTTAGTTCATGTATTAAAGAAAAATATTGTTGCCAAATTAAGATGATTTTTCTTTAAATAAATGAGAGCATTTAATACCAAAATTAATTAATTTTTTATAATTATGGTGATTGGAGTGATTTGATATTGTTGACATACTTCAAGGATTATTAGCATAAATTCGGAAACTATTTTTTCCCAAAATTTTAAAAAATTGACATGTAGGATTTTTACTTACTTGGCACTCTAGAAATATGTTTTTATTTTCTCTCTCCGGTTTTTCTCTTAGTATAATACAAATTTGGATTGACTTTAGTTTAAAATAATTAAACAATTTTTTATATTATTAAAGAATGCAATTTTTTTTTGAATTAATTAGGTGTGAATAAATCATGAATGTAGCCATGATTTGACCTTTAGTTCATGTATTAAAGAAAAATATTGTTACCAAATTAATATGATTTTTCTTTAAATAAATGAGAGCATTTAATACTAAAATTAATTAATATTTTATAATTATGGTGATTGGGGTGATTTGATATTATTGACATATTTCAAGGATTATTAGCATAAATTCAGAAACTATTTTTTCCTAAAATTTTAAAACATTGACATGTAGGATTTTTGCTTACTTGGCACTCTAGAAATATGTTTTTGTTTTCTCTCTCCGGTTTCTCTCTTAGTATAATATATATACTATAGATAGATATGCATATTGAGTATGTTTTAGTAAAAATGTTTGAAAACTGTGAAGGTCACTCCTAGATTAGATTCCGGAACAAATTTATTTATGAGTGAACCATAAAACATGTCATTAAACTATGGGGTATTTTCATTACAGGTTATCAATCAAATTTATTTATAAAACATGACCTCTAACTAAGCCAAAACTCCATCTGTGTTCGTTCTGTTAGTTTTGGCCATTAAATCATGACGGAAATCTATTTTTTACATGCAAAACATGTGAGTTGGATTCAATGGCAATTTCGTCATTGTATTTTTTTGTAAAAAAAAATTAATTTTTTTTTCAATTTTTCTTATACTTCCTAACTTGTATACATTGATACTTATGTAATTACAAAATTTAAAATTTAATTTACCATTCGTATATCAAAAACTAAATTATTAAATAAATTTTAAAAAATAAAAAAATATAGAATAACAATTCAAGTTGAAGTAAACATGAAAATTAATATTTTATTATTTTTTTTAAAAAAAAAATAAATTCTAAAGAATTAGTTAAGACAAGTTGTTTGACTCTCTGAAATACATAGGCTAGTCACGAAATACAAATTTTTACTCGTTTTATCTTAAAATGAATATTTTTTACTGTAATTATTATTGTAATTTTTTTATGGCTAAAAAAATATAAGCCAATATTAAATTCCATGACAAAAATAAATGTTTGAACTCTTTAATAGTGGAACTTTTTTTATTTGTTTATCGTTTATATTTTTTGATGTACAAAAGTAGAATTAATTCTTGGAATTTAGTAATTATATTAGTATGAACATATACAAGTCAGGAAGTATAAGAAAAACTGTAAAAAAAAAAATAAATAAATTTTTTTTTACCGAAAAAATACAAAACGACGAAATTACCCATGAACCCAACTCACATGTTTTGCATGTGAGAAATAGCTTTCCATCATGATTTCATAGTCAAAACTAACAGAATGACTTCGGATAAATTTTTGGCTTAGTAAGGGGTCCTGTTTTATACTCCATCTGTCCCAAAATTATTGTCCAGTTTGATATTTCACTTTTAGTACAATTTGAACTAGAAATGAAAATCCAAAGTGGACAATAATTATGAGACAGATGGAGTATATAAATTTGATTGATGACCTGTAATGAAATTACCCAATAATTCGATGACATGTTTTATGGTTCACTCTTTATTTATTTAGTTGTGAGAGAATAGAGTCTTTCTCAATATTAAAGTAAAAATGCAGCATGAAATTCAACGATACCATAAAATTTCTTCATGAAAATTGTTACCCGTATTTTGAAATGAAAGGGTAATAGAAGCTTCCAAAATGTAAGTGTTATGCGAGATTAATGTGGGTTTTTTCTCTTGAAAGTTTGTGATATGGCCATTAGGCAAAAAGGGTGTGGACCGTTCAAACATTCACGGCTGCCGGCGATGAAGAATGAATGGCCCAGCTAAGCTGTTTCAGTTTCAGTTCGTCTTGGATTGGAAATTTTGAATGACCATAAAACCCCAAAACCAGAGATTCCAATTGGCATAGGTCAGATTGTGACCGTACGCTACAGACGAGCCCTTTTTTTCCCTTTAATGTGTCCTGCCAACCCAATTTTTGGAGTTTCTGAATTTTGTGTGGATGATTAGAAGGCGCATGCACTAGAAAACCAACGACAATTTTTCAGTATGATTTATGAAATGTGGCATAAGCATAATTTTTACGGGTGTCGGTTGTTGAACATAATTCTAACATAATCAAAACGACTTGAGGATAGCTCACCACTGTCAAGACAACTCAAAAAAAGAAAAAAAAAGAAAAAGAAAAAAAAAAGGAACTAATACTTTTTCTGTTCGAAGTGAAAATGGCCTTCAAAACATGTTCGACGTGGAAGCGAAAATGGTTATTACACTCACAATCAAACTTTCAAGTATCGTTTAACTTTTAACTTAAATGGTTTAGAGACGTGAACGAGAGATCACATACATTATTCCTAATTTTTCTAATCAGTAAATGGTGTTAATGTATAATAAGTTTAGTGTAGTGACTTCGTAGTAATTACCACAATCTTGTATATGTGTAGGGGTGTTCACGGACCGGATTGGTCCGGATTACTATCAATCTGTAACTAAACCTTGACTTACGGTTTTTAAATTATGAAAACCGTAACCAAACTGTATTGAAGTTAAAACCAGACCAATCCAAACTGTATTAAACGGTTTGGTTTGGGCGGTTTAACAGTTTGGGCCTCTAATTGTGACATTATTCATTTTGGGGCATATTGGGCCTTTTTTCGGCTCATTTATTGGGCTTTTTATGGCTTTTTTCCTGGCCCTTTTTGGGCTCTTTTATACGAAAGGTTTTGATTGGAAAAAAAAAATAGTTAGAAAATAAAATGAGTGGTTTGGGATTTAAACACATTATCTTTGGTTAGAATTGAAATAGTGAAAAAATAATTACCAGGATTACTACTTCGCATTTGTAATATAAGTTGTCATTCGTTGATATATATAAGAAAAGTAATAATATTATTATTTAATATATATATATATATATATATACGGTCCGGTCCGGTTTGACAAACAGTTTCTCAATGCTAAACTGCAATTAGGACCGTTAAAAACGGTTTTTAATTTTTAAATCTACCGGTTTAAAAATTTAATTATAAACCATCCATCAATCCGAACCGGTCACACCCATCAATCTGAACTAATGATCAGT